GCCACCACTATTCACCATACTTCTGGAAGTTCTAGCCAATGCAATCAGCAAGAGAAGGATATAAAGGGCACCCAAATCAGGGCACAGGAGGGCAAACTCTCACTCTTTGCCAGTAATATGATCTTATACTCAACTACAAGACTCCTGGAAGTGATCAAGAAATACAGCAATGTCTCAGGGTATAAAATCAATGTCCATAAATTGGTAGCCTTTGTATATGTCAACAATAGCCAAGTTGAGAAGCTAATCAAAGACACGATTTCCTTCATAGTAGCTTCAAAGAAAATGAAATACCTAGAAACATACCTAACAAAGGAGGTGAACGACCTCTACAATAGAATTATGAGACCTAAGAAAAGAAATAGCAGAAGTAGCCAGGTATGGTGGCTCATGCCTACAACCCTAGAACTCTGGGAGGCTGAGGCAGGTAGGTTGCTTGAGCTCATGAGTTTGAGAAAAGCCTGAGTAAAAGTGAGACCCTGTCTCTACTAAAAATGAAAAACTGTGGCAAGAGGATCATTTGAGCCCAAGAGTTTGAGGTTGCTGTGACCTATGATACCATGGTACTCTACCAAAGGCAACAAAGTGAGACTCTGTCTCAAAATAAATAAATAAATAAATAAATAAATTAAAAAAAAAAAGAGAAAGAGAGAAGACGTTAATAAATAGGAAAGCATTTCATGCTCCTGGTTTGGAAGAATCAACATTGTTAAAATGTCTATACTTCCCAAAGCAATCTACAGATTCAATGCAATCTCCATAAAAATGCCAACATCATACTTCGAAGATTTGGAAAAAAATAGTTCTTTGTTTCATATGGAAGCAGAAAAAATCCCCATATAACCAAGGCAATTCTTAGTAATAAAAACAAACCTGGAGGCATCGCCCTACTGGACTTTAGGCTATATTATAATATTACAGGCCCATAGTGATCAAAACAGCATGGTATTGGCACAAAAATAGAGACATAGATGTTAAACTGAAAAGAAAATGAAGAGATGAAACCAATCTCTTATAGCCATCTGATTTTTTTTTTCTGTCTCACTTTGTCACCTTTGGTAGAGTGCCATGGCTTCACAGCTCACAGCACCCTCCGGCTCTTGGGCTTAGGCAATACTCTTGCCTTAGCTTCCCAAGTAGCTGGGACTACAGGTATCCACCACAATGTCCGGATATTTTTTTGTTGTTGTTGCAGTTTGGCCAGGGCTAGGTTTGAACCACACCCTTGGTATATGGGGCCGGCACCCCACTTACTGAGCCACAGGTGCCACTGCCATCTGATCTTTGATAAACCAAACATATAGTGGGGAAAAGATTCCCTCTTCAATAAATGTGCTGGAAGAACTAGATAACCACATGTAAAAGACTAAAACTGGACTTGCAGTCTTAAAAAAAGATAGAGACTTTACCTCCTTTATGTTTACATAGATGGAGCTAGAACATATTCTTCTTAGTAAAATATCTCAAGAATGGAAGAAAAAGTATCAAGTGTACTCAGTTCTATTATGAAACCAATTTATAATCACTCACACTTTCATAAGAAAAATAAATCACAACTATAGTCCAAGAGGAAGGAGGGAAGAGGAGGGGGATCAGAGGGGAGGGGTGAGATTCATGAAAGAAGGGTAAATGATGACTGCATTCCTATGGTTCATATTGCAAGGGTACATGTCAAATCTATTAAGTATAGAGTATAAATGTCTTAACACAATAATTAAGTAAATGAAGTGAAGGCTATATTAACTAGTTTGATGTAAGCATTCCTAATTTTATAGAAAATCAGCACATTGTACCCCATAAAGGCATCAATGTATACATGATCTATGTGTTTATGATTTAATAAAAAAAAGATCAAAAGAACAAAACAAAATACTTACAAAACAAAACATAGGTACATCTAGTGGTAGCATTAGAACTTCTATAATGAAGAGATTTGGGGTCAGCAACCTGTATGTTTTGGCTGAAGGACTTGTTTTGAGGTTACATTTTGCATAGCAAGCATATTATTTCTACTTATATTGTACATTTATTTGAAATTTTTGGAGTGCAGTCAGTTAAAGCCCTTTCAACCCACGTTTTCATGTGTTCCTGTGTGAGACTTCAATATGTAATATGAATTGCCAAAATTCATATTCTTTCTTAGTCTCTCTCAAGGATCTTTAAGAAACCCTAATGTAAAAACCACTGAAGTATATACTTCATATTACTCTTAACTTTATCAATAAGAAAATTTGTGATCAAAGTTTAAAGTGAATTGTTGGAGGTAACACAGGAAGTTATTGGCAGTTACTTCAAGGACTATTCAATGCAACTCTTTAGAGAGAGACTGGTTTCTTCAATTTGTGTTTAAAGTACAAACATAAAAAAAAACTTGTAAAAAAATAAAACTGGACCTGCACTTTTCACCACTTACAAAAATTAATTCAAGATGGATAAAGAATTTAAATCTAAGGCATAAAACAATAAAAATTCTATAAGAAAGTGTGGGAAAAACTCTTTATAATGTTGGACTGGGGAAGTATTTATGAAGAAGACTTTCATGGCAATTGCATCAATAACAAAAATAAACAAATGGGACTTAACTAAATTGAAAAACTTCTGCATAGCTAAGTACACAACAATTAAAGTAAATAGACAATCTTCAGTATGGGGAAATATATTTGCAAGTTATGAATCTGATAAGGGGTTGATAACTAGACTCTACAGAGAACTCAAATTAATCAACAAATAAAGAGCAAACATTCCCTTCTATCACTGGGCAAGAGGCATGAACATAACCTTTCCTGAGAAAGACAGAGGAATATATAACAAACATGAAAACATGCTCATCAACCCCAATCATCAGAGAAATGCAAATCAAAAACACCTTGAGATCACTTAACCCCAGTGAGAACAGCTGATATCACAAAGTCCCAAAGTTGCAGATTCTGGTGTGGATGTAAAGAGAAGGGAACACTTATCCACTGGGCTGGGACTGCAAACTAATACAGTCTCTTTGGAAAGATGTATGGAGTTCTTCCTCAAAGAACTCAAATTAGACCTCCTATTGATCCTGCAATTCCACTAGTAGGCATCTTCCCACCAGAAAAAAAAATCATTTTATCATAAGGACATTTGCACTAGACTGTTTATTGCAGCTCAATTTACAATTGCCAAGATGTGGAAACAACCTAAATGCCCACTAACCCATGAACAGATTAACAAATTGTGGTATAAGTATACCATGGAATACTGTTTAGACATAAAAGTGATGGAGACTTTACATCTTTTGTATTAACCTGGATGGAGTTGAAACACATTCTTCTTAATAAAGCATCACAAGAATGGAAAAACAAGTACCCAATGTACTCAATACTAATATGAAGTCAGTAGATGATCTATTTCATGACCACATAAGAGAAAAACTCAATTCAATTCAAGTTGGGAGGAGAGGGAAGGAGGGAGAGAGATTTGTGTGCTTCCACTTAACGGGCACAATGTAAGACTTTATGGCACACCTTTTGGGTGTGGGACACAAGTACAAGAGGGATTCTACCTAACAAATGGAACATTGAAACCTAGTTGTTTATACCCTCACAGTAACCTGAAATTTAAAAAACAAGACTAAAAAACTAAAAAAAAAAAAAAAAAACAACTAACACAAGAAGAGAATTTCCATCTGATATATTTTATCCTTAAATGTACATGTGGATATTACTAACTGTTAGCACTGTTTATTTCCTGGGGTTGGTTTATTGCTTGTATTATTAGTTTCAGGCATGTTTTGTACAGCTTTTTGGATCATTTTGGCCTTATCTTTCCCTTAGACTGTTGGCCACTTATTCTGGCTCAGCTAGACCTGTGTGCTTCCCACACCTGAAGCGAACCAGTCCAGTGCTTATTCAACATCCAGCTCTTTTACCCACTTCCTATGGTTTTTTTTATCCTTGTGGCTGGGGAGGGGACCAAGTGTTGTCATCAGGAAGGCCATTCAAAGAAGAATTGTGGTCAAGGAAAGAAAGAGGAAGGAGCTGGCCAACCACCTCCTCTGCCTTCCCCTGTTCTGAGATACTCTTTCCCATGTTACAGGCTGTCCAGAGTCATTTCAAGTGGCTCAGTGAGTTGATCTTCCAAGGAACCAGCTGAATTTATCACTGATGCTGGGAGCATAATAGGGCATCCACCTACATGTACTTCCCATCCTTTTCTTCCTCACTTCCCCTTTCCCTCACTTTTACTGCCTTGGGTTGCATTAACCTTGCCTCAGAATCTTTTCTCTAGGGAATCAAGCTAAGACATTCTTTTTTGTACTTTTCTATATTTCAAAAATAATACATTCATTCCCCAGTATTTACTCTGTGGATACCAAACCCTAGAGATGCTCAAGTCCTTTATATAAAATGTCATATTGTATAAAAATTATGTTTGCATATAATTTAGGCACATTCTCCTGTGTACTTTAAATCATCTCTAGATTCCTTATATTACGTAATATAGTGTAAAGCTATGTAAATAGTAGTTGTACTCTATTTTTTATTTGTATTGTTTTTGTTGGTTTATGTAGTATTATTACTTTTTATTATTTTTTTCCAAATATTTTTGAGCTTCAGTTGGTTGAATCTACAGTGCAGAATATGTTAACATTAAGGGATGACTGTGTGATGCAAAGAGCATAAGTGCTTAATACACAGTGGCTGCTAGTATTCACATTGCTACAGCCAAATTATAATCAGAACTTATAAAAGTGTTGGAGCCATCAAAGAAATCTTAAATTGTTGATATGTAGGAGACCTGAGATATTGAGCTACTATGTAGTTCACACTTTGATTAATTAATTAATTTGTAAGTCATATAAATGAAACAGCTGACAAGTAGAGATTTTGCCTAGACTTGAAAGCTAGAGAATTCCTGAGCTGAGATCTAAGTCAATATTCAGTCAGACCCCACGTTTTGATAATTCTGCCTCAGTCATTTTCCCAGGCAAGTAAGTATATTTTGAACTCACAATGGTGGGCACTTACTCTCCACTGTGGTTCAGGTTATCATAACGCAGGAAGAGACCTGCATAGACGGTCTCGGTCAGCAGGGCATAGATGGCAATCATAATCAGCAGCACAGCCAGCTTCAGGACGGAGTTGAGTCGGAGGAACACTGCACAGGTCACCATGGCCAGCACCCCCGTGAAGACGAAGTACTGGAAACAGAGAATGCAGGTGTTCAGATTCAACAGGGGCGCGACAGCTTCCCTCTCCTAGTCATGGATGCCAGGAGGTCTTCTATCAGTGTAAATGTTGAGCGTTTCCATCTGGAGGTCTCAGGGCCTCCTGAAACACAACAGGTCCCAAATCAAACTTCATTTTCCTATCCCCAACCTATGTTCCCTATTTCTATGACTAGCACCACTATTCACACCACGTCTTAAGCCAAAAATCATGCTTTCAACTGTGTTGCCTTCCTCTGCCCCACACTCCCTATCAGGCTATCCAAAATCAGTGAATTCTACCTCCTTATAGATTTCACCTTCAGCCAATCTTCTCCATCCACCTTGTTTTCTATCTTAGTTCTCAAGAATAGCTCTGGAACTGTCAGACCTCCCCCCACCATTGTTCCCTCCTTGATATCTCTAAAGCACAGATCTGATCACATCACTTCTTAACTCAAAGTCCTTTCAGAGCTCTCTACTCCCTCAAAGTGTGTTCTCTCTTCTGAACAACAAAGCTCACAAGTCCTTCATGCACCGGATTTCCCTTTAAGCCCTTTTTCTGTGCCCAGAGCCCTGCTGCTTAGCCCTTACCCATGTGATTAGGCCTTACTCCTCTGACACACGTCATCTCAAGTGTCCTTTCTGCTGAGAAGTCTTCCTGGTTATCTTCAGGTACTTTGAGATCCTGCCTCTTTCCTCCATAGCACCCTGGATGGGCCATCATAACGTCCCTCACTCTGTACCAGAAGCAACTGTTTAAATTTCCAGTTTGGATTCACCCAAGAGCTGAAATATTGGAGTAGGCCTTGAGTATCAGTCTGCCCAGCCAGATTTCAGTTTTCCGTGGGAAGTTCCTAAACCTATTTCCCTTATACAAGTATCCTGATAAATCATTCTGGGTGGTGGGATCAGATTCACTATCCAATGGGACAAAAGGAATAGAACTTGCATTATCAAAGGCTCATTTTGTGGCTGTTATCTCTACATACATTTCATTTTATAATATTCAAAATAACTGGTCAAGATGGGAATCATAATTCCTATTTTGTAGGTTATGAAACTGAGGCTTATAGAGGTTAAATAAATTGTTCAAGATCTCTCAGTTAGAAAGTGGCATCTAGATCACATGAATGCTACCAGTTTGTGTACATGCAACTCTTCTAGAAATACTGAGCTTGATAATTTCTAAAGGCCAGCCAGTGTTGTTTTATCACATGGAGACACAATTTCTCTATGAGCAGGAAAGATGGGCAAGAATGTCCCCAAATCCCTCAGCAACCACTGAAGACTTGTTTACTGATTTCTTAAGCCAAGTTGACTCATTCCTGTATCCTTTCAACAGACATTGGTATTGACAACTGTCAATAGTGCTCTGACTGAGTTCCCACTGAGGACAAAGGCTCTGTGCCTTGTAGTGCACAGGGTGAAGTCAGAAATGAATAAGGAATTGATTCTGCCCTTAAGAAGCTTGGTTTCTGGTGTGTCCTGTACTTTTGTCTCTTCCTTTTCTAATAAATCCAATTATGTTCTTGTCTCAAATTGGATGATACATGCTCTTCAACTTTCCTTTAAGATCTTTCCTTGGGAAAGACTTATGTAGCTCTTCTTGATGCCTCTGTACAGGAAGCTATGTGAAGTGACGAGGCAATTAAGAGTTCATTCTCCAGAGTCTGTTTTCTCCATCCACAGAAACTTCTAAGACCCTCTATTTTAACAAAGGCCAAAGAAAGAGGAATAGATCTGACAGGTCCTGTTTCATTTTTGCCTGCATCATAACAAAGGATCTGGACAGCTTGGCCAATGCAAATTATGAATCACATCTTATATCAAAAGCCATCATGCTCTGGAGCCAAAACTTACGGAGTCACAACATTAAAATTTAAAAAGTATAATAAGCACTTATTGAATGCCATTTGCAATGAAGGCACGACTCTAGGCACTGGAAATTTAATGGGGAATAAGAGATGGCCCAGGCCTAAAGAAAATCTTGGTCTAAAATGTGAAGCAGACATGAAAATGCCAGCAGTGACCACTGTGGAAAGTGCTCTGCCTACAGTGTGACCAAAGGCAATGGAAGTACAGAGGCAGGAATGAGACCAGTGCATTCTCTAACCACATCTGGAGAAGCTCTAACCACATCTGTGAGAGCTGAGTTTGAACTGGACCTTGAAGAATGGAGGGTGGAGAGAATTTCACACAGAAAAAAATGGAACAAGAAGAGCATTTTGGGAAGAGAGAACAGAATGAAGGCAAAGGTGTAAAGAGGCCAGTGTTAGGAGACTTATTTCCTCAGGTTGTGTTAGGGAATCATGCAACTACTGGTACGAACTAGTAGCAAATTTTCAAATGTGTTGCCCTCCTCTCTCTGCTGAGGCTCCTGAAGGCGGCAGGCAATTTCAATCATACACCTGCACTTGTACTTTTTATTGCCTAAGTCGTGTTAGCGGCCCCACCCTCCCTTCTATTGAAAGGAATCACCCACTGCCTTGCATGGTTAAGGCAACTTCTACTTCCAAGCATAAAGTGAACCTTCTGCAGGTTCAGAACTATAAGACATCAAAAAGAATGTGGACCCTAGACAACAGCAGGAGATGCTTTGTCCCTTTTAAAACTTGGTGAATGGTGTAGGTAGGACCAGGAAGTGGGAGAACAATAGGAAGCTACAGAAGTATTAAGACTTTGTGAAAACATTTCTCTTTTGCTGGGTCTGGACTCTAAAATTGCATGGTTCTTAAAACTTGGGAAGGAACTGGACACAGTGCAATCACTAAGTTTCTGTCAAGCAATGGTTTTATTGTTCTTTTGTATTACTCCAGAAACTCAGAAGGCCCACAGCTTCTAAAGTGGGTCCTGGATATAAGGGGATGGTAGGTGTAGTAGGGCAGAGGTTTGAGGCAAAACCACATTGTAAACATTCTTGTAGGTTCTGCTGAGAAATCTGTACTTTATAGTCCACAAGGAGCCATTTACAATAATGGGTTTCATGCTTGTAATGGATTTGTTAGATCAGGGCTTTAGAAACAAATTGTTGTGGGGAAGAGTATAGGATGGATTGTGATAAATGGAGAAAAGTTAAAGACTGAAAGATAAGGAAGGAGCCCTAGTCAATAAGCTTAGCAAGAGATTAGAGGATGGACAGCATGGTCTTGTTTTATGTAAAGATAAGGAAGAGACTGGAATCAGAGATAGCACTAAGATTTCCACCTTGGATTGATCTATTAACTAAAGGGGGAAAAATAAAACTATAAAAAAAAAGGATGGAGGAGAGGCAATTAGTTGAGAGTTAGGCTTCTCAGGCTTTAGACATGTAAGGGGTGATCCAGTAAGGATATTTGGTGAGTAATGACAGATGTAAGGCTGAGGTCTGGAAGACAGATGAAGTCTGAAGATGCACATTTGGAGTTTTTCTGCTGAACTTAAGAGACTCCTCTAGCAGAATACAAGTAAAGACAGAAAATACAGAGGCCAAAAGTGAGGGACTATGACGTTTGAGGGCTGTGAAAGAAGAGAAGTAAGAATACTGATTAGAAATTGTGGGGAGGTGAGGAAGAGAACTATAAGACCGTAATGAAAACACTTGTGCCCACCCCCCCCCAAAAGAAGCAGTATCTATAAGGGTTTTCAGAAAAGCATTTAAATGGCAATATAAAAAGCATTTTCAAACGAATTTTAAATTGGAAAGCAGAGTATAAAAGTACATATACACTATGGTTACAACAATGTGCACAGATATGACATAGCTTTTGAGTTAATTATTTTATCATCCCTTGTTTTTATTGTAGCATGCAATATCAAATGAGGTAGCAGGCTGAATGCACTATTGTAGGGGAAGTCCTTGCACACCTGAGAACTCTGCATCCCATATAGCAATGGGATTCTCTGTTTCTCTCTAGATCAGTTGGTGATTAAAAAAAAAAAGTAACATCAAGATTTTTATGAGAAATGTGAAGCACCAGGGAAAGTTCCCAGTGATCTCTGACAATGGAAGCAGACAAGCCATGCATACCAAGTGCATCTCCTTTGCCTTGGGGAAAGGGAATAAGAGACCCAATAATGACACATCTGTTTTGAACAGTAAAAAAACCAGTTTGATGGAAGTATTTCGGATTGTGTGTGAAAACCCCACACTGTACCCCAGAAGTGCATTAATGTACATAGTTACCATTCAATAAAAAAAAATTGGATTCTGTAATATGCAACAGAACTTTGATACCCAAGTTAGTAAAAAAAGAGGTCAAGGACATTTTTGTAGATAGAATAAAATTTCGATAGAAGATGGACAAACATTACAGATGTGGAGGTGTGAGGTCCTTCCATTAGATGGACTCTGGGTAAGATAGGGAGGGGGAACCAGCTGGGGAGGGAAAGTCTGTGCATCATGGATGAAGTTAGTGGAGGGTAGATGTAATAATTATAATCAAATGTTTATTGGGCAGGTATTCTGTGCAAAGTACTCTATGAATGATTTTATATGCTCCATCTTATTTAATATTTTTTAAAAGCCCAGTAATCAGTATTATTCTTATGCCTATATTATAGAAGAGGGCATCTTCTGCTCTAGAATACTCAAGGTTTTCTTCTCTCAGATAACATACTGGCTTGGGAAATCACAAGTAAAGTGATTTCTTCTAAGTTTGTGTAAAAAAAAAAATCAGAATCCCATGAAAGGATAAGTTATTAAGGAGAACAATATCTGTCTGATTGTGTTTACATGAAATGAACATTTTACAAACTAAATCATACATTCACTATTCCATAATTGTTGGCTGAGGATCTACTATGCACTGAGAATTGTGCCAGGTTGGAAGGCACAATTAATGTTAGACCATTGTTCTAATTAATGTTCCCTAAGTTACCTTGGGAGTATGTGCACATTTTCCTCTTAGAAAAGAAGGAAGAAGAACCATTTTACACAATGATAACTGAAGAAGGAGTTGAGTGAAGTTCCCCACAAGTCCTACTCACTGGACTCCCTTCACCAAAATCCCTCG